CGGCATGGTGAAGGAAGCTCTACAATGATTACAGCTCAAATGTCCCGGCATCATGTCCCGGCTTGGCCTGAATGAGAACGACTCTGATTTGTCAATCTGATGCATTAGGCGGATGTGTTGAGCCAGGCCCTTTCAACCAATCATTTCCAGGCACAATGGGCAGGTGAATTCTGACAACGAGACCGGAATCTCAGTTGTGGCAATCTCAGCCAAGCGTGTCTGAATGGTATCTTTGCCCGGAGGTCTGCCACGACGGGTCTGGGTGTTACTGGAAATAGGAGTGGTCCCTGGTGTACGATGCACTATTTGATCTTGGGTCAAATCATATATATATTGGGACAGAAAGATTGCCGGACACAATGGGCATTTGAACATCGAGGGTCCAGAGCCGGCTTGGTCCGTGCTGGGTTGGATAGCTTTGGACTCTGCCTGTGGATCAGTGTCCGGAGTTGAGGTCAAATCCATTGGTCCCCGGAGCTTCTTAGTAGCAGATGTCGGAGATGGAGCTTCATTAGGCAATTGATCTGTATCTGAGGCTATAGCTGGGTACCAAGCACGCTTCATGCATGGCATGACTGGGAAGTGCGCAGGATCAAACACATGGGCCGTCATGGCCGCCAATTGGAATATCACACTGCAAAAATGTGTCTGGACGTTGAAACTTTTGGTATAGCAAAGCGGGCATTCTGCACGGCCTGATCCGAAGTTGGCCATACCCCTGACCATATCCAAGTGAGTATTTGCTGGGCCAATCTTTTCCTGGTGTTGATCTCTGTAGTGACGTGTCATGGCTTTTGCATGGACCTGCTGATTGCAGAAGGCACAACCAGTGGCAAGTTCCTGGCGCAGTGATTCGTCCAAATATAGGCCCATATACGAACGGTGGCGTATGTGCATGGCCACTTCAGCTCGGGATACAATCGGGATCACCAAAGCCTGACGCATGTCAAAAGCTGTGCAAATACGCTTTTTTATATGTGTATGTAAGGCCGTCATGATTGATTTTCGAATCATGCAATGACGATAGATACTGGTGCCATCTACGGAATCACTTAAAGATTGGTATATATCCTCAGGCAAGCACGCAATCTGATGCATCTGACGCATATGCCGTTTCAGCAACCCCGCCTGGTTGAACTGTCTATGGCATTCATGGCACTCTAGAGGTTGGGCCTGAGATGGGGCTAGGTGGAGTCAGTCGGAGTATCAAGTTGACTAATAGGGTAATCCGGGGTCAGGGCAATCACGTCAGGAGGTTGGTCCTCCATGGCGGTATCGATTGCTTGCTGGATTTTGTGCAGCAACGATTGGCGCAATCGAAGGTTGTGGCTCTGGAGAATCGCCCAAGGTGAAGGTTGATTCAATCTATGAAACAGGTCGTGCGTTGATTCATGCCTATAGTGCACATTGATGGTACTTATGATTTTACGAAAGCCCTTCTATGTTATTCCCGTTTCGTGGATACCGTACATGATCGTTGGCAATATACATTGTTGGTACAAGCGAAAACGAATGCTTTGCGGTATACATTGGGCTGTGAGCCACTGCCGCAAAATAGAAAAATATATTTGGGCCGCCTGGAGGCGACGGTGGACTGTGTCAACCTCCTATGCTCTGTAGCTAACGACCACTCCCAAGTAGGCTGTTTTGGAAACCATCGGCAGACGTGTTGAAGAGTCCGGCAGGGTCAGAAATGGCCCGGCCTTGGTGCGTTGGATCCACTATTTGGTGAATCGGACGGCCCCTTTTCCAACAACCCGGAACAAAACAACACTCTTGTCGAGATTAATAGAGAAGCCATACATTCGAAAGACCTGGAGGATATGATCAAGATCTGTCAGGGCTGCAAGGCCATCGGACAGGCGTTGCATGTCCCATCTCAAGTGGATGTCGTCGGCAAAAATGATGATGTGATCATGGATCCAGCGGTGCGAAAAATGTGCTGCCAAGTCTGTCAGCACCAAATGCATGCAGAATATCCATAAGATGGGACCATCTTTAGAGCCTTGACGAATCCCTCGGGAGGCCATATCTCATCAACCAACTATTTGTGTGGGATATAATACTTGTGAGGGGACAACAAGGTCTGAATCATGGTCTGGAGATCCTGTGGGATTTGCAGATATTGGAGGGTAAGACCAACGGTGTTTCGGCTGATCGAATCAAATACTTTATTCACGTCGAGGGAAACTTGAATGCCTCCGAACATACCATCAGCTGAATTATCTTTGCTGTATTCTTGACAGCGTGCACGAACCTGTCTGTAGTGCTGTGAGACACGAAGCAAACAATCAGCAGTATTCCGCTGCGGGAAATGGGCATGTAAGGGGAAATATCTAAGTTTATCGTGTGAGTATTGCAAAAGTTGGGAGGTGACAAAATTCGAAGCAATCTTGCAGACCGGATGCTGTAGGCATATGGGTCGAAGTGCCTGTGGCTTCGTTCTGGGTTTGCCCGGCTTTGGAATTAGGTGCAGCCAGCCTGCCGTCCATGCTTCCGGGGCCTGCGGGGGATTGACACGCCAACAATGGTCTAAAGCTTGAAAGGTTGAAGCAGCCAATTCACGGGCCAAAACTTTCCATATGATGGCCGGCAGACTCGGTGGTGCCACTGCTTTGGTGGCCGGCATACGATGCAGAGCATCATGTACGGTTGTTTCATCAAAGGATAATACCTGCAATGGTGGCCGAACCGGGGGGTGAAAGTCTGGGTCATGGAATTGTGTCCCAAAATATTGAACAAGTGCATCCAATTCCTATTTGGGATTCAAAGGCTGTCCATGTGAATCGAATATATGGATGCATTTGTATCTCTGTTTTGGGCACAGCTGACGGATTCTGCGAAAGAAGTCGAATGATTGATGGCGTATCGCCAAAGCAGCCCCCTCCTGGAGAAATGCTTCCAATTTTGTCTTTTTGTTGGTCTTATTATACTGTTTGATCTTTTTGTGCAACATGCGACACCGAGTCAAATAATACCACCCATGAAACACCGACTTCATATTGAGATCAGGTAATGCAAGTGCAATCTTACGAGCCTGCCACATCTGGGCAATAAATGATCGAAAGGCAGGATCCGGTGGAACCTGCTGCCGCACTGTTGGAAAAAAATCCTTACATAATTGCACCAGGGTTTATTCCAAGTGCAGGTTAAGATCAATCGGAGAGCCCGTGTGGTGGCAGGCTGCAATGATTTGACGTGCCTTCTCAACGAACTGTGTCCACTGCTGGGTATTCTGTGTCCAGGCCTGGCGGAGGCGGAATCGGTTGATACCCACGAGGTTCTGAGCTTTGGGAGTTGGGAACCATTTAAATAATTACAAACTCAGGGGGTAGTGTCTCGGGCCTTGGTTGCCATACAAAAAATCAAAGTTTGGATGATGCTGTGGTTGCAGTGTGCGCCAAGAGATTTGCTCCTTTCGCATAAGCACGAAATCTATCCGGATATTATAATTATCATGGACAAAGGTAGGATGAAAAACTTTAATATGGACAACTACCAAGTTGTAGTCCTGGACCAGGGAGTCGAACAGGGCCCGGTCAGTCTGGGCAGCTTTGGCATACTTGGGATCCACCGTGAAGACATGCTGACCATCATAATCAAGTGTTGTGTTATAATCATCGCCTAACAACAGAAGGTTATTTGCTAGTGTGTCACGAATGCACTCCTAGAAACAAATCCAAATTCGTTTTCGTTTTTGCAATAATTGCAATTAATTTCCACCTGAGTTCCATGCATGTTAATACATAGCATAAACGTCATGGGGTCGATACAGTTGTATGCGGATTTGCAAAATCCTGCCGGATATATAATTGGCAATCCATGGATTATATACATGCCATAACGGAGTACTCCACTCATTAATAATGTGCCAACCGATCTCCTAAGCAATAATAATATCATACTGGGATCGATTATACCAGTCGAATCAACTTGCATAGTGCAAGGATCTGGAGGCGTTCCATTGAAGCGCGCGAAATAGACCTGTATGGGCTTGATCAGGATGGGACTCTTTGGACTTAAGAATCTATCGATATTTCCGCATCCATAATTATAAAACCTAAGCCAAATAACACCCATATCTAATACTTATCGGGGCCTTAAAGAGGTCGCGACAGCCTCTTAGTATTTCGTCCGACGGTCAAGGCTATTATAAAGACGATACGGGCTCTCGTATTCTCCTAAGGCTAAAAAGGCAACCCTCATATCCGGAATAAAAGGTATACATATAAAAAATTCAAATCTTCCCATCCCGCCTAGATGTAAAACCAATCTCTATAAAATACGAAAAAAAAAAAATGCGAAAATTATATATTCGGACAAATCGTAAACTACAAATAACGGTTTTATATATTTTTATATCAAATATATAATTTTTATATATTATATAATTTATTTATTTTATTCAATTCTAAATAAATATATTATTTATTTTCTAAATTAATATTACTTTAATTATATATTATTATCATTATTCTCGATCGATTAAATGCTCTCAACCCATATTAAATTTATAATCGAACGATTAATCGATTACTTCGTAAATAGTTATGCGAACAATAATATACTTAATAAATCGAACAAAAAATTCTTAGGCTCAATTATTTTACCGAAAATAAATATTAAAGCCGATTTAACCACAAACCAAAACAAATAAATATCAATCTCCATCTCCAAGAAATAAAAACAAATAACAACAATCCTATAATTATCTATTAAAAAACAATTTCCATCTATATGCAAAATTCCTTAATAATATCCAATAATATATATTATATTTTTATTTTAATATATTATTTACTATATGCAATTTAATAATTCCATCCATTATCTATATTTATGTTAAAACGATATAAAATACATATCGTTTTTAAATAGATTATTCTTTAAATCTTTAATTAAAAATAATTAATATTTATAGAATATAGTATAAAAACAAAATATATTTAATATTATATATATATATTGTAACAATCTGTACTTAAGATCCAATATATCTTTTAACATGTTTAACAGAGTTGAAATCATTCAAGAGAATGTCCCCGAATGACCTGAATCTGTGGGATTTGAAGAATTCTACAATCAATTTTCTCATCATCATTTCCTCGAACATATGGATCAAATTTCCAACCTTGTTTCTTGCATGTGCATCTCAGCTCGTGATTGATGATGGCATCTATTTTTCTGTTGAAAGGCCCCTTCACCTAACTCAGAGTTTGCGAGTCCCCGTTGTTTTGGCTACTGTTTTCGTTTTTGTGCTATTGCAGTGTCCCAACTCCCTATCACTCAGCAGCTGAGCGGACCACCTGGCCTTCACAAGCGGAGCACCTGACCAAGGCACAGAATCTTCATGCAGAGCACACATGGCCTCGAGGAACACCATTCAATGCTCCTCTCGTGGATCCATTGGTCTGTAAAGGCGTTGTCTTTAAGGAATCCTGTCTTCAGGAACTCTGCTCAAAGTCTCCGCACCAATCTGATCTATACTGCCACCAATACTCCAACGCTACCCCGCCCTGAAACTAATGAACAAGAGCTGGTTTTTGTTCAGGCAACCTCTGTCTTAGAAAAGGGGTTGAAGCAGCAATGCTCGCACTAGTGTTGCAATCTAAACAGGCTCTACGTATCCTGTTTACCCTAGTCGACGCAGCTCCAGGTCTTGCCTCTCGCACATCCTTCAAGAGAGTCGTGATGGTTGTTCCATCATCTTGAGGCAATGCCTTTTCAGCGTGGGAAGCGTTGGACGTCTTGGACGTTTTTGCGTGATCTGCAAGGCCAACGTCATGACGAACATGGAAACCTTCACCCAGTGGTGTGAACGAGATGGAATCTTCATCGGCTATAGGAACATTTAGGAACCAAAAAAAGTGTCCATCACTGAACATCATCACAGCCGTGGAGTTCCTCAAGAAATCTCAAGAACATATTCAAAACATTTCAAAACGACATGATGCACGAACATTTTGCAACAAGGTTCTTCGAAGCATCAATAAACTAGAGCTAAACATATTGCAAAAACATGGTGGCACGGCTCTTTGCAACCGTGCGTTTGTGATCGCGGGTGAGCAAAATGAGCAAACCGTCTGCGTTTTGAGCACTGGTTAAAAAGTACAAATTGTGCGACGGACGGCGAAAAGTTGTCAAGCGGTCATTTTCTGCTTCGAGTGGTTGCGGTTTCATGCTTGGGAATTATGCCGATAGATCCATTGGAAGATTCTCTCCCAGCAATAAAGTGCAGCGATAGACGTACAAAGACTTTGGCCAGCAACATGCATCAGCATCCCACGTAAGTGCGCATGAACATTAACATAAGCCATAGCATCAACATCCCATGCAAGTGCACATGAACGTTAACGTGCCCCACCCCACCCCACCCCACCCCACCCCACCCCAGTTAACATGAACGTTAACATAACCCATAGCATCGTATACATGTACTGTACGAGAAACAGTAAAAATGTGAACGCCTCCACGGTTGTGAAAATCCGTGTCACCAAAAACATGGCCTTAAAGTGTTTGCATAATGTTTGCTAACAAGGGTGTGGTTGGGGAACTCCCTTTAGCTCCCTGGCTCCCATATTCTTTCGTCCAGGTTCAGGTTCGGCAGAAACATGAAAAAGTCGGCCCAAAAGGGGATTGAACACTTGGACCAAGGAGAGAAGGGCACAGGCAATCAATTCTGTTTGCCGCATGAAGCTTCCGGCACCCTGGGCTGGCTGGTGCGATTCGGAGCCGGGGGTATCCATATTCCCTATCCACCCCATGGATCGGGCTCCACCCCAGTGGATCCTACGGTATACGTTGGTGTCCGATCCATTGAAATCATGCAGTATGTAGCACCACTACAAAACTAAAGATTCTATCTCAACAGGCTTCAGGTTGGGACCAGTAATCTGAGAGCCAAACTTTGAACAAGGCTCTTGACGTCTCTTGAACCATTCAGGCTGAACACAGATCAAACATTGAAAAAGGCTGATCGTTTCTCTGAAACACCTGTGATCATTCAGCACTCGTGCCTGGGTCATGACCATCACCAGGATGGGTTGTCCTTTGTTTGGATCAAATTTGAACCTCGGCTTAGATTTAGTGTTTTCAGCGAAGACTTCCAAAACATGTCCAGCAGTCTATCTGGGACGTCTTTTTCTGTGCTGCCAAGAGGTCAGGGTATGTGAATGTCAGCCACACCATGTTGACATGCTTTATTCGGGCAACATCCTGTGGCAAACCTCTTTGTGCTCCTCCGGAAACTCTTGGTGAGTCTGTGGCAAGGTTTCGCTTGGCCACAACAGTCATTCAACCCTGGCCACAAAAAATCTGTTCACCTACTATGAGTTGGGGTCCAGCTGAAGTGTTCACCAATGACTCTCGGTCGTTGCTTTCGGGGGGCGCCAACTGGGCCTCGGACGCACAGCTTGCAGCACCCCCCCACTGCCGCACGCCAGGTACACCGTCGAACCTTGACTGGGACAACACACAGGTTGCTCCTTCCAACACAAAAAAAAAGCAACAAAAGGTGCTCGTGCTGACTTTGACACAGCACCCCGCATGCTGGTGCTTAGGGTGCCCGGCCAGCCACCCCAGCTTGGTGCTTTTTGACCTTCAATGCGGTTGATCAAGGCAATGCTGAGTCTGAGTAACTCCTTGGCCAAAAGCTGTTCCTTCATATTCAAGACGTTTGAGGCAAGCCAGGCTTTATCATGGGTTGAACGTGCGATCTTGGCCAACCAACAAGAATGCAGCAAGAACCCTTGTTGGACAACCGCACCCTTCGAGGCTTCAAGCTCTTTTTCTGAAAGAAGAGCGCTTTCCATCAAACATTCAAAGACCCTGTGCCTCACTCGATAAATGGTACATACAAATCCCTTCTGGATGCCTGGCACCGCCATTGAACCCAGTATCTCTCCTGATGATCCTCAATTGCATCCTTTCTTATTCTGGCTTTAGCAGACTTGCAGAATGGTGGGCACTAGTGCACTTCCAGCCATTTCAAGAACAGTCGAGCTTTCGGGCCCAAAGTGAGGAGTTTCTGAATGAGGCCGTAACGAGCCACTTGCGGCTTCGGAGCCGTCAACGGTCCACGGGCGTGGTGTTCTTTGCGTTGACAGGGCGTCGCTACTAACATGCAAGTCACAAGGGCATCGCTGCCAGGAGACCCAGTCCCTCCAGTTTTCCAAGTACTTTTCAATACAGGGAGCCAACCTACCGCCTCACCTTCGATCAATTTTTAAATCCCTCAAGGAACCCCCAAACAAATACAAGCTTTATAGATGCATACATTGGCCATGATTGGTCCACTATTACCGATGAATTCCGAAAAACGCTGAGGCCCCCGACGCTGTAATTCCCCAATTCCGCTGAGGCCTAGCCCAGCGTCGTCGTAGGGACGAGCACCTGCAGCTCGTCCCCGACGGCTCCAAAGCGTTCGAAGCCCCAAGCGCTTTCTGCATCGGAATGGGGTCGCATCAAACCACCCAAGCATGGTGAGCATGCGGTTTCCGCTCCACTCCCAGTCTATCTATGGGTGGATATCGCAAGGGAATATGGCCGTGTTTCTGCCCCGCTATCAGCCCAGTACAAATGGCGACTTTGACTGTCCGTCGCATGCGGCAACACCAAGGTTAAAGAACGTTGTTGAACGAACAAAGCGGATTTTGTAAACGTGGGATCTTGACTCTGACTCTAACTGTGCTCAGTACAAGTTAACAGAAAAATTAGGGATCCCATGGCTACAGCTCAAAAATAGATCAATATTGATGTATGAGCCAAACCCATATTATGGATTTGTATCCTCACGCACGAGCCAGGTCTCAAGCAGTACATGGATGTATACTTTCTACAATTTTCTACATCTTTCTACTGTTCTTTCTAGCCAACTCCGGCTGCGTCTTGAGCTTCAGCACCACACCACCAAACTTCAAACACCTTGACTCACCCTTGGTGGGAATTGAAACTACTAGTGCCATGAAGTACCAGGACCATCCAACTTTTAGAGGAAAAACATATAATATACCGGGGCGCATAGATGGCACGATAAAAACCGTCACCTCATCAACTTTCTTACCTCGGAGTAGACGTATGTAGGCTGCAGCCGCGTTGGACACTCGGGCTTCAGCTTATGTGAGTCGAATCGAGACGTCAATCGTCTGGGACTCCCCAACTGCTAGGGACACGGCTTCCGAGCAAACTGCTGAGGTCCTTGGAGGTGCTGAGTGTGATTCACTTGTGATTCATCTTGAAATATCTTGAAACTATTCCTGGGGTCAATGAAAGTACTTTGGCACTGGATTGGATCAGAAACTACTTTTGGCATCTGCCCCAAACTAGGAATCCAAACCAGCTTCCCAATAGGAGGCTGGAGCCAGCTGCTTTTAACCCAAAGGAACGCGACATATTCTTAAAGGGACTGCCTGCTACTTGGAGAGATTTTGATTCATACAAGTAGGTGAACCAGGATCCAACTCCAGAACCCGACAAGTATGTGTTGCACCAACAAAAATGTACAATCAACTGATTGTAGAAACAAATGATGAACGCAAACCAAACTGGAAAGGAATGCAACGTATTGGGCAAGCTAAAAGGTTCTTTCTCTGTCGATGAAGTGTACTTATTTGCAAGACATGAGATTGGCGCACATTCGGATCCTCTGTTCCTCCATTCCTGGAGTGACAATCAAGAAAGATTGCTTGGGACTATAATATAGAATCTTGATGCATAAAGGCATAAAGCATCCATATGAGGAGGTTTTTCAATCCAAACAGGGGGGTTTCTCTTAATTAATCAAGAGTCTACATTAACATGTCCATGCTTTGGCTCAACATGCTTTGCCTTCCACTTTCGTTGAACATTCTCGGCCCACTCAGCTGCTCCGCAGCGGTCCCTGTGCGGATCCATGGGACTTTTGACCATCGAACGTGTAGCTAAAACCAAACGCACCCCATGCATCGTCAGCTTTGGAGGTAAAGGAATCATGCTGGAGTCAAAGTCTGGGCCAAGACAGTCAGGAACATCAATATATAATCCGTTATGATCTATCAATACTCCTCCATGCAATCAGCATGAAAAAGTATTAAGTATCCAACCGACAAGACATTCAGTCTGACCCTTGACTGCCAGGTGTGCCCGACACTCATCATCAGCTCTGCACTCTGCACGCTCAAGATCCGCACCTGAGCCATGAAGGGAGGCTACGAATGAGAATCGAAGCTTCCAGGAACTGGACAATCCGTTTCTTCGAGGAAATCACGACGAAGATGCTTTTCCTTCCTGAAGAACGAAATCACACATTCATGTTTTTGAACAAACGAAAGTGATACTACAAGGTCTATCAAAACGTAGGAAACAACACAAACCTCAGAGATATTATATATATATATGTATAATTGTAATTCATGAACATACAACATACATACAAAACATTACAAAACCTCCATCATCTGCAAAAATAAGCACATATAACATTGACACGATCTCATATCGGTATATATGCATAATTGTATATTTAGTATTTTTTTACATTGCAACTTCAATTTCTTTGTGTTTCTGGTTGATATCCAGGACACCGCGTTGTATATAGATCTGCATTCTTTTTTGATTAAACACATCCAGAAAACAGCCAAAGCTCCGCGACATCCACGTCCGAAACGCGTCCGCTACCTCCTAAAACGTCGCACACCGTCTACGTGTCCACCGTCGGGGAGTGAAGCAACTCGACGTCAGTGTTTACATGTGTCGTGTTCGTGTCGGATGTCTCACCTGTGGACAAATGTGTTTAGCGACACACAAAAGAAAAACAAATTCGACAAAAACAATGAGGTGCCGGCCCCACAGTGTTCGCCCCCAGATGTCACTGCCAAGAGAAACTTGGCCTAAGAAGCGAAGGGGCGAGATCATCCATCCATCAAAGCTTTTTTCATTTGACTGACTGGCTACTTCAGTCCCTGTCAGGCATGGATAGAATCGTTCCCGCACCCAACACTCCGAGCAGACCTTTGGTCTCGTAGACCTTTGGCCTTTGGTTCAGAGGGCCTTCCGTTTTTTGATATATATATATATATCTCTTTCGAGCCATTCATCGGGCCTGGAGGTACTTGAGCTTTCACATGATAGGGCAGAATCGTTTCAAGCTGCTTGTAAATGTGCTTGTATGTGCATGATAGGAACTGCTAGAACAAGCTCATTCGTCTGAACAGGTCAATCTTGGATACCTCCAGCCGCACCAACTGCCAACTCTCCAAACACAATCAGTGGGGAAGTTCTCCGAAATCGCCACAGCGATCATTCAGCACCACCACCACCACAACACTATAACACTATGTTACACTATGTTATAGTAACACCATCACCACCATGCTAAGACGTGAAGCCAAGTGCTGGTTCCAATGGTTTCACCCTTTCACTCAAAAGACCAGGGTGCTGACCAAACATCAATGAGGAAGTACTCTGGGATTCAGGCACAACCAAGCTTGTTCTGATGTACCGTACAACTCATAAGCGTCAGCGCGTACTGATACAACAACGCCAACAATAGTCTGATCTCTTTAATTGGTGTGTTCATACAGGCATTCAGCACTTTTCGGACTCAGCCCCTCTTATGGATGCTCCATGCAGCATGGTTGCAGGTTCAAACATGCCAAGACCGATGCTGCAAGAATGCCGTCCGGTGACGTAGTCATCCATAGTGCTAAGCCTCACAGACTTCGGTGCAACCCTTAGACGCTTTGAATCGAATCGTTTCTCTGAAGACTCCAATTGTTTGACCTGTTTGGCAAATCGTCTGATGCAAAATACCGTCCTCTTCTTCATCTGCTTTTCATCTCAAGTTGCAGGAGTTGTTGAGGAAAGAGGTCCACTGTTTCAAGGTCCAAGGGATCCTTTTCGGGCTGCTGTTCGGCTGTTGCGGATAAGAACTGTCTTTTTGCACCGAAAACACTGCTGGCGCGCAAGCAGAAGGAAGAGACAGCGGTTGCTCTCAGGACTCGGCAAGCCACCTTCTAAACTTGAAAGGCCTGGGGCTTGGAGGATGTGTGGCTTGGATCATCGGAGAAAACAGCATCTTTGTTGAAACAGCAAAGGCCTGCCTCATGACAGAGCTGTTGCCTGTCTCTGTCTGTATAGAAAGCTGTGTTGGAGCCCATGTACATAAGAGCTGTATAGAAAGCTATGTTGGAGCCGATGGGAATATGCAAATCATGTATCAATCCGTCTGTCTTGCGAAACCACACGCACAACCTCGCACAACCAGCGGCCGAGCAAGCGACCTTCAACCTCTCTTCGGTAGCCGCTCCTATCCGGCCACCAATCCATGCTATATCCACACCATATCCATCCTTATCATACGACCTACCAGCACTGCTACCTGCCCTGCTACGACCTGCTTGAGTTGTTCACTCCAAGCCCGACTCCCGGCCTGGCCTCCACCCGCCGATGGCACCAAGCATTTGGCCCAGCGACTGCGAGCACCTTGCGGCACGGGCGTTCGATAGCGGAAGTCCGGGGCCCCAATCTCTGCATGGGAGAGCAATTCCATAGTTTCTCCATGTTCCCGCGCTTTTTGATTGAAAAAGGAATGATGTGAAAACCACCATCAAACATAGGAACCATGGCTCTTTTGAAAAACAACAGCGCAACCTGATGGTTCACTTGCGACATGTTTGTGCTGATTGTCGGCTGGTGGTTTGCAGCTTGAATGCAGCTTGCTTCTGGCCACAGTACAACTTGAAGTGCAAAAAGGGCCAAACAAAAAGGAGCTAGTTTGGACAAGTGGTGGTATGCAGCTTGACTGCTGCTAGCTATGACTTGAAGTGCAAGAATGGCAAGGCAAAACGAGCTCGCTTGGAAGGGTGGCTCCTGCCGGGCAACTTCACTGCTTGCTGGCCCTTGTGGCTCGCCCGGCCTTACCTTGGTCGTTAGAGATCGCCTGAGGTTTGATTCCTCTTCAAGTTGGACTGGCAGCACTTTGGGGTTCGTTTCCCCTTTAGTTTGGAACCATGTGTTACTCACAAGGGAGGTGTTTTTTCCCCATGGCTTCGGCCGGGAAAAAACAGTGGTTTTGCTCATGGCCGAACGGCCTTGTGGGGCCTTCGCTGCTTTCTTCAGCCCCTGTCAGGGGGGTTTTCGCTTTCTTTGGATCCGGACACGACTCCGGCCCAAGCAGAGGAGTGGGGAATGTGTCACTTGTGTATAGCTGTTGGTCTTGGACCTCGACAAGACCTGCATAGCTTCTCACATGCCTCTACCCCATGAGTTAGGGTGGGGCATCCAATGCTCGGGAGCTCGCTTGGACGAGTGGTGGTATGCAGCTTGCCTGCTGGTATATAGCTCCGACGTGAAGTACCAAGAATGACAGGTAAAATGACCTTTCCACGCAAGCGGTGGTTGTCTGTGGCCTGATAGCTCAAGGCTGCAGGGTAGTGCTACAGTGTGATGAGCCAACGTGCTTTTACTCGTTCTGGTGACGCACAAGGCTGCATGTCGTTGACTTGGACCTCTTCTCACCCATGAATGGCCTCCAGTCGGGCCGGGTGAATGCACAGCAGGAGGAATGCCCTGAACCCTTGCACGGTCGCAATGGGTTGCTTTCTTTTCAGCTATGCTCGCTCTTCGTGAGCTTTTGGCACATAAGACCTCAGGTGGACGGTTGCCTTAGCCTTTGATCTCTAGGCTTCAGTCATATTGGCCTGGAGCTGATGCCACCAAAGTAGAATTACTCTAGGTGCATGTAGGCTGCTGGCTAGACCATATGGCTGATCGAATCGCGAAAGACCCTTCTTCCAGTGTTTTCAAGCCATTTGGCAATCTGGGCCCCATCTAGAGCAGACTGTTTTATAATGGAGTGAAAGTATTGCCGGTGAAGGGACAAGAAATTGAAACCAACCACAAGGACCCTTCCTTAACTGACAGCCCACTTTGGATTGCTAGAAGGGATACACACCAAAACGAGGGTTGAAGGAAGAAGCTTTCAAAGGTCATCCAGTCATTTTGAAATCCATCTGCGATGCTTTTTTATCGTGGAGCGGTAATTGTAGTTGTCATCACACAGAATGCCCTAACTCAGCTGCTTAGATAGACAGAATAACCCAGGAGCATGGACTGCATTCACTCAAACCAAGACTCCCTCCTCGCTGTGTTCTCTGGCACAGCAGATTGGGTTGGACGGCTTTTGGCTGGCATGGTGGTGTACAGTGCTGTTGATGGCATTGATGCTGAGCCACTTGGACCCATACTGGGAGAACAGTGGAAGAGAGCAGCTCAGGCGAGGAGCAAAGGATTTCAGCAGTTATGTGTATAGATATTGTTGAGCTTGGTTCAAACTCCGCGAACAAATCCCAAGCACGGAAGGGCACAGTTTGGTGATGCCAGGCGTCAGCCGACACTGTTGAGACTGCCTCTGGTGGCTGTGAAATGTCTGGCGCAGCCGAAATGGAACATTGTAAGTGGAATGCTTGCTACAACAGCATGAAAGCACTATCAAACATCTTGACATCAGGGTATGTCTCAAAATACTAGGACCCCAACCAATGGTTTTCATCTACTTTCCAAAACGAAAGGATTTGCAATGATGCGTCACTCATAGACTTGCAACTCATCGCCACGATCGCTCCGGTGGTGCGCAGCCTTTCTTTGGATCTACTCGAACGAGCCGGAAGTGCCGCCCGTCGCTTCCCCATTGCTTTGACTTGGTGTACCTCCGACGGCCGGCGTTGGCTGAGGAGGGGAGGCACTCATGGATATGTGTACTCCTCTTGAAACTAGGCCAAAGCAAAGTGGATGTTGATCTACAGTGTGTACCACCTTCGCAGTTCCAGAAGAAATGCGCAATCTTCTGTGTTACACAAAGATAAAAAGGACCCTTTCTTTCTGTGGACGGTTGCAATCGGCTCTGGATTCATGAGAGCTTTGCATCGCACAAGTCGAAGCTGAGTGCAGAATCCAGTGGTTGGCTCTGCTTTGCAGAATGGTTTGAAACTTACAAGGCCTTGCAGCACCATTGTTTTCCATCTGAATCATTGGGAAGGAAGGATAATCAATATAACAGGAACATAGAAAGGAACATAGGGTGAGGCAATTTAGCATTTTGATCATTCATCAGAGTATACCCAGGAATTTCCCAGGCCATTGACTAAGCGCTGCCACGTGCAATGGGACTCAGTGGATGGCTCTGCATCCTCAGCGGCAGCATGACATAGTGGGCAGATTGGCTGCACGTGAGTGGTGTGTAGGCTCTGTATGCAACACGCTTGAGGGCTTCCAGCATGAAGACCAGGTTGGAGGCCATCGCTAGTAGGTTGGAGGCCATCCCTTCTAGGTTGGAGGCCAATGCTATTTGGTCACAATAAGCATGCTGGAGGACTTCCAGCTTTGTATGCAGCCTGCTGGAGGACTTCCTGCATGAAGACCTGCTAAGCAACATGCTCTCAGGAACTGTCAGACCTTTGCCATGTTGGGCATGACCTCAACCGCTGAAACCGTGTGACATGTTTGCAAAAACAATGAGGGTCCAATTCTGGATGGGTTTGCTTTAAAATCAAAGAAACACGCCTGCCCTCCATATCTGCAAAACCGCTATGGTCCCGAATGATTGGTCCAGTCACGCCGGCCACGCGGCCAAAGACTCCACCAGCACCTGGCTCCAAGCTGCACCCGAGGGGGGCGCTTGGAATTCTTGTATGAGATGTTCATCTGCATTGATGCATGACTATATATATATAATGTTATGTTATGTTATATAGTACTATATTGTATATTTATTATATCAACATAATATATTATATATATATATTTCTACTACTATATTATATTATGATATATAATAATAGATATATATATATATGTGATGTAATTCAGAGTAGATACTTGTGCACGATACTCACACGTCACACTCACCACAGGTTCAAAGCACCGAAGCTGTCGCCGGCCTGGGGCGTGCAGGACCAGCTTCGCCGTTTTGACCTCCGCAGTGTCAAGGCATTCTGGGTCATCCTTTTCGCCCATCACAGACTAAACAGTCGAATATTAGAAAAAACATGAAAAAACACACGCACGCAAAACTGCACTGCTCTGCAACACTTGGAAAGAAAGCGAACTGTGCCGAAGCACTTTCTAATAGTTCCACTAGGCTGATCCAAGGCTCAGGTCTTTCAAACCAGAAAGCCGCACATGTTCCGAAAGACACCTGAAGCCGGGACCCTGGGACCCGAAAAAAAGTGCTCGGAGCAGGGTCTTGATCGAGTGGGGCATGGGGATGGCAAGAGACCGACTCGAAGGACTCTCTCCGTGCCACCGGGGCCTCCGCTCCGAGGTCGAGCGAGGTCGAAGACCGACATGGCCCGCTTTCTGCAGGTCTCGCGCATTGTCTGTGTGGTCGCAGAATGTTCGTTTCGTTTTTCTTTCCCCACTTGAACACACTGAGTGAGGAAGACCGTCTCCAAACCCTGAGCCGCTTGTGGGACCCTGCTATGCTAAAGGGAAAAGGAGGAGACTGTCAAGCAAAGGAATTCCTAAACTAAACTGTCAAAACTGCGCGAATTCCTGACAATTCACACCGTGGAGATCACAGAGGCCTCCGAAGACTTGGCCAAAGCCTTGATCTCCTTGTCCTCTGCGGGCGTCTCAGTGTCAGTGTCCATCATGAGCATGACCTTGTAGAGGGCCGCAGCCAAACAGGATCCGACGAGTGGGCCGACCCAGAAGATCCACATGCCACGCCAGAAGCTGGGCACCGTGTCGTCCTCGTGGATGGTCTGTCCCTGTTCCAAGGTCGCTGCGACGGGCTCGCCCACCATGGTCACCGTGGGTTCGCGGGCCTTGGGCGCCTCGATGCGTGTGAGGGACAGGAGAGCGGGTCCGAAGGAGCGCGTGGGGTTGATGGAGCAGCCGTCGATGGGGATCAGGACGCAGTGGGCCATGAAGACGGCGAGGCCGATGGCGATGCAAGCCTGACTGCGGTTCAGGGCCGACTTTGGATTGCAGGCCGTTTGGTGGACGACGAAGACCAGCAGGAAGGTGCCCATGATCTCGGCGATCAAAGCGTTCCACCAATTCCACTTCGGACCCACGCTGTTCGAGCCCAAGGATTTGGTCATGTCCAGTTCAGGCGGAAAGATCGCGCACAGGATGGCTGCGCCGACGACGGAGCCCATCATCTGGGAGGCAAAGTTGAAAATGCCCTGCAACAGCCCACAGTTGCCGGTAAGGACCAGACCCAAGGTCACAGCGCAGTTGAGGTGACCGCCGCTGTAGTGTCCGATAGTGTAAGCCAAGGTTGTGATGGAAAGGCCAAAGACCAAGGCCACCATGAGAACCCAGCCCGGAATCATGGAGGTCGTCTCTCCCGCGGTGGAATCGTCGTCGCCACCGCTGCCGCCCGCGCTACCTGAGCCCTGGATACCCATTGCACTACCACAACCGATCATTACAAACAGGGCCATGCCAACAAACTCGGCCAAGCACGCGACGAGGGAAACGCCTCGGGGAAGCTTCATCTCTTTAGACTACAGTTCGACACAGGGAGGCCAGATGGTCACCGTCACTATTGGAGCCAACAGCTCTGCAGTAGATGCAAGATGTCAGTGTGAACCCGTCCTTCAGTGACTTTGCACAACTCAAGGAAAGCATCACAAGACCTTCAAGGTTGTTTGACATAAGTTACGAGAGGCACATGACTCTGCACCCCAAATGTCCCCAAAACACAAGAAGAAACATAAATATAAACATATCCTCTACTCCTCTACAGTACATCTTGTCCACGCTTCCACATCTGAGTTCCGGTCGAAACTCCAAAGCCCAACAAGTACACCATACCGCCTCGGGAGGATTGACACTCATGGCAGTATCAAGTTTGTCCGCGAAATCGGATTAGCTGACAAGCAAAGCACCTGGCACAATATTCCGACCGGCAAAACGGCTCATGCACGTGAGTCGCACAGTCACAATCTCCATAGTCACTCCCCCCGCACCAGAGGTGAGTGTTCGTCGGGTGCTCATTTCCCTATCTCAGCTAACACAAGTGCAAACTGTTGGATAAGGTTCGGTAACATCATGTCCATTCTTTCGGCTCAAAAGCCCTGATCTCAACAAATGGAAGACACAAGTCCCGCCCAAGCGCTGTTTCGCCTCGGAAATCAACAAATAAAGGCCCCGTCAAGTTGGTCTATCTGACTGCTTCGAGCAGTCTGAACGTAGCAGCTTTTGCCAAAACAACGTGTGTGGCCCCTGTGCCATCTGCCGACCCCCTCTGTGTGGCCCCATGACATGCGGCAGCCAATTCTTTCGCCTCTTGATGTAGCTGTACAGGTAATGGTAAAATCCCTATTGTACATGTCATCCAAATAAGTATAGTATCCTATAAGACTTTACTTGTATGCAACTATTTAAAGAAGCACATACTAAAACCTGAAAAAAAACATTATTATCTATACAATTTCACAGCATAACCATTAATTACTCAAACACGTATATCTTCTCCATATCATTTGTTCCGCAAAGCATTAGAATACCTTTGATTTGATTAGCTTTCTCGCCTTTAAATGCCTTTAGGAGCTTCATATGATTTTGTCAAATTACGTGCATGTCTTCAGTTCCTTTTGGAACGAAGGCTAAAAAAAACACTTTGGTAATCATTCTGCTTTGGTCTGAACCATTTGGCTTATTGGAATCTTCTATCAACAGGATTCTGAGATCAAATACCTGTTGGATGTGGCCACGAACACCATGTGTCTGAGTCTTGCTAATGCATCCGGGTCCCCTTCCAACGCTTGCATGAGGTAGTCTGGTGCCAGCATCTCTCGACCCAAATTGATGGCCGTCATTTTGTGTGAATTCTGCAGATCGAGTCGTGCACCGTTCACAATTAGTGTCATTGCAGCCTCATGCTGGTCAGCCAGGAGTGCACACATCAGCGGCGTGGAGTCATAGCTGTGGTAGGCCAATTTGCTGCCGCTTGCTGCCTCACTTAATCAATGGCTCAAGTGAGTGAGGGGTAACTTAAATTGTACCGACTTCAATCATAGAACCCTGAGTCCTCTGACTCTATCATGTACCATGTTCGTTGCTTTTTCGTGCATGTCTTCACAATCTTTTCCAGCTTCTGGGCCTTTCTCTAGCCTCCATTGTCTCAGTCAAAACACGCACATCGGAAAACAACAGAACGTACCAAGGACGGTTTATTGGGCGCGCCTTTGTTCGCCTTCATTTTATGTCGGTGTTTTCTATATCCTCCCCATCGGGGAAGTTGCACAGTGTAAGTCAGGAATTCATTCTGCGCATGTCTTTGCCGCCTGCAGCCCTTCAGGTTTATGTTGCCTTTCCGAGTTTGCTGTCATCAACTTGGAGGAACAAAATAACACTCAAATCGAAGATCTTCAATAGAATTGAATTTAGCTCCGAATTTGACGACCCTGAAAACAGCAGAACCGAAGTTCGGTCTGAGTCTACAATTTGCTGTGATGACTGAACATCTCTCAAGTGTTGAACGTATTAAACAAGAACAAATATCGGTTTGCCAGGCCAAGCTGCTCTGCCTAACCGGAACTTCCATGAATGAATCAGGAAAAGCAAGCCGAGAAAGCTGAATGTAGGCGGTCTGAACTGCTCGTTCACATCGGCCTTCGCATCAATCAATTGTTGCACCATATCAGCTGATCCTCCCTGGAAGCACACTGCCAAATGCAAGCATGTTGACAGATTC